GTGGACACTGCGCATCTCCTCCCAGGTTACCTGTAACCGCTGAGACCCTAGCTCAAAACCTGGCTGCCCGTGAGGAGTGACTTATACCGCTTGTCTAGAATGACAGCGGCATAGAGGTCGTGGGTGAGGATAAGCTTCGACCTCTTTCTCAACGATGTCAGCAGGTCGGCAGCAAACGGAGAATCGGATTCTGCTAGGGCCTCGATGTGGGAGATGAGCAACATGGCAGCGTCCACTCGACGAATACCTCACTGTAGGGCTTCTTATTTTGTTGTAATGCAAGCGACGTAAAACGGCAGCACTCTCGTGCTGGCACTAATAGATAAAGACAAAGTTCATTTTACAATTTTAATTAAATTTACACATTTAAATACACATTTACATTACATATTAATTAATATTACATTACGTGCATTTATTTCTTCATGCGCTTACAGACCTCCGTTTCTTGTTTCTGTTCTGGCTGTACTGGCCTCTTTCTCGTGAGATACGAAGCGATTAAGGTAAAAATTTCTGCTCGTAAAGAGATTACTTCATCTGCGGAAAGGCTATTTAAATCATGCCTCAGTGTTTCGAGTGTTATTCCTCGTTTCCGGCCATGGCAGCCGCCGCTGATATCGGAGCTTGCTCCAGCTGAGACGCCCCGTGGACACTGCGCATCCCCTCCCAGATTACCTGTAACCGTCGAGACCCTAGCTCAGAACCTGGCTGCCCCCGAGGAGTGACTTATACCGCTTGTCTATAATGACAGCGACATAGAGGTCGTGGATGAAGACAGACTTCGACCACTTCCTCAACGATGTCAGCAGGTCGGCAGCAAACAGAGAATCTGATTCTGCTAGGACCTGGATGTGGGAGATGAGCAGCTTGGCAGCGTCCACTCGACGAATACCTCACTGTAGGGTATCTTTTCTTGTTGTAATGCAAGCGACGTGAAACGGCAGTACTCTCGTGCTGGCACTGATACCGCGATGTAGTCCCGATCATCCGAGCTCAAGATTTTTGCTACTTCCGGAATTGAGTCATCAATGACAGGACGCAGTTCCTGCATTCGTTGTAGCATGAGGAACTTTGAATCCCATCGGGTATCATTGCTCATGATTGCACTTTTTTGCTTCAGCTCTTTCAAAAGCTCCATTGTAACAGTTCTAAGTTTCCTCAGTATGTCATCTTTCAGCTCGCAATCCATGTTCCCCACCAGTAGACAAATAGATAAAGACAAAGTTCATTTTACAATTTTAATTAAATTTAAATATTACACATTTACATTATATATTAATATTACATTACATGCATTTATTTCTTCATGCGCTTACAGACCTCCGTTTCTTCTTCCTGTTCTGGCTGTACTGGCCTCTTTCTTATGAGATACGAATCGATCAAGGTAAAAATTTCTGCTCGTAGAGAGATTACGTCATTTGGCGGAAAGGCTATTTAAATCAAGCCTCAGTGTTTCGAGTGTTATTCCTCGTTTCCGGCCATGGCAGCCGCCGCTGTTATCGGAGCTTGCTCCAGCTGAGTCGCCTCGTGGACACTGCGTATCCCCTCCTAGATTACCTGTAACCGCCGAGACCCTAGCTCAGAACCTGGCTGCCCCCGAGGAGTGACTTATACCGCTTGTCTATAGTGACAGCGGCATAGAGGTCGTGGATGAAGACAGGCTTCGACCTCTTCTTCAACGATGTCAGCAGGTCGGCAGCAAACAGAGAATAGGATTCTGCTAGGGCTGGAACCTTTCCTTTCCCGGCTGGGAGGAAATGCCCATCAAAAACAGGGGTTTGAAATGAAAGGAAGAACACTAGTATAATGTTGATGAAGGCGAACAAGGAACAGGGCTGACGAGCGATACCGGACGATACGAATAAATACACACAAAAAAAGAAAAGAAACTAAAAGCTGAGTTGACGGGTTTAGCCCTCCGTCAGGGCAGACTAAGTTTCACTTACATTTTGAGAAAAAGGGAATCTGGCTGTAAAAACGACAGACCGAACAGCAGAACACGTACACGAGCTCGAAGACCGAAAAGCAGAGAGAAGAATGGGGGGCCGAGTAGTGCTAGTAGCCGCCACGCAACCACTAGCGCCACTTGGCGGGCTAAAATTTTGAAAAGTGAAGGGGTAGGGGGGACACCCCGTTACAGGGCCTCAGTATGGAAGATGAGCAGCGTGGCAGCGTCCACTCGACGAATACCTCACTGTAGGGTATCTTTTCTTGTTGTAATGCAAGCGACGTGAAACGGCAGTACTCTCGTGCTGGCACTGATACCGCGATTTAGTCCCAATCATCCGAGCTCAAGTTTTTTGCTACTTCCGGAATCGAGTCATCAATGACAGTACGCAGTTCCTGCATTCGTTGTAGCATGAGGAACTTTGAATCCCATCGGGTATCATTGCTCATGATCGCACTTTTTTGGTTCAGCTCTTTCAAAAGCTCTACTGTTACAGTTCTAAGTTTCCTCACTGCCGATTTTACTCCTGATTGGGATTTTGAAACCCAAGGACCAATCCTTCCTCGGCGTTGGAGCTTTGGCCGGCGGGTCTTTGTTGACGGAGGGGCCGAAGGAGGTGGCAGCAATCTCTTGGGTTTCGCCCTCCAGGTGTTCATTCGGACCTTGTGGCTCGACCCTGCTTGGTCTTTTGGCAATGCTGGAAGAACACGTTGTTGCTTCAAAGGAAGAGCTGGGATAAGCTTCGTGTGGTCAGCTTCTCTGGGTAGAGCTCGTACACTGCTGTTGAAGTGTACGAGCAGGAGACATAACACAATGCGCGAAACTGTAACTTTACTGAGCATCACGATTACACAAAACAGGAGACAACTAAATAAATAAGTATAATAAGTAACCGTAATAGAAACAGACATAATTAATACAATTTAAACTAGGAGTAAACGCCTGAATTGAGGGCTCGTTGGCGCAATATTGTCGATGCAAACATTCTTGTCCAAGTTCTTGCATAAATCCCTCTCGATGGCAAGCACCATTAGAGGAGCTAGAAGGCCTTGGCCCAGTGCAGACCTGAGTCTGATTCTCATGATTTTTAATTTTGAAAATCCCCGTTCGCAGGTCACTTGGGTACACGAGAGCAACGAAGTATACTTGTATGCAAGGTACAAATTATTAAATAAACCGGTTTGAACAGTGAACTCATATAAAATCTTGAAGGCACAAAGTATACAATTTTATCGGTATTCTTGAGATGGTCCGGACGGATTTTTTTTCATCCTCTTCATCTTCGTCCTCCTCATCATTAGTAAGGACCATCGTCAAAAGCTCGTCTAATACTAATTCCATAGATTCACCGCAAGTATTAAAATCGCTCGCATCTTTTGACTGCAAAGCGTCTTAAAGGCTTGCAAATTGCTTCAGCTCTGAAGTCAAAGCACTTTTTTCAACTTTTGCTAATTTTCAGAGTTGTCAAAGCTGTGTCAAGGCTACTGACTGGGGCTACTGTCAAGGGTACTGGATTTTGCTACTGACGCCTCTATAGACCGCTATGGCATAATTGAGAACAGATCGAAAGAAGGACACATGGACTATCCGCAGAGAGTCCAGGCTAAGGAAACGTTTAAGAAAGATGATAGAGTATATGACCTTGCCGAGCTGTCCTTCAATTTTTTTGACATGCTCGCTCCATGTTAATCCTCTATCTAACATTATCCCTAGTATTATGCTTGATGTTCTAATTTAAGATAGTCGCAGTTACAGTTTTGTTTTCCATTACAATGGTGGAATCTTATTTTCAATTCTTCAACCTCTTCATAGTTGGTTGAGAATGGAATATAAATAATTTTTGACAGGTTTAGAGTTAGTTTATTTTCTTCGAACCAGGGTTTAATTTCCTGATTCAACCCTTGGTTTACCGTATTATTTAATGTTTTCCATGCATTTCCATTGAATAACGTTGAACGCACCTCAGGAATTAGTAACCACCACATCAACCGTTTCGCAAAGAAGAATCAATTTAAACCCCTGTAACTCCACGCAATCCCTCTCCCTTCTCCTTCGTAACGTGGAATGACGAAAATACTCACCACTCCACTTCTCCCTGCTGATCCTCGCCCGGCACCTGGTATAAGCCGTGCGGCACGTCCTTCCTCATCGGGTCGGGGACTCTAACTCCCGTGCAGATATCCAGTCCTCGAGCCAGCGGGTCGATTATTGAGTTTTATAGACAAAGCTTTAGACAAAGAAGATATAAGGAGTATAGAGCGATCCTATTGGTTGAAATGGGTGGTTCTTATAGACTAAAAGGGTAAATGATGGACTAACTGTCAGGTTCCTCGTGGGTTGCCGTTCCTTAGTCGATTACCTACCTCCTATGTCCATTGCCACCACCCGCTTCCACCAATAGGATCCCACCAAATCCCTTTTGTCGTCTTTGTCTATAGCTTTGTCTATCAGTTTCAATAATCGGCCCGCAGGAGCAACCTCGTCTCCTTCTGCGCCGGCACTGAAAATGAAACACACCACCCAGATAAGATATAAAATTTTTACAATATTGGGCAAATATCGTCAGTACTGTCGCAATATTTACACAATCCATCCTGACAATATTTCGATAATATTTTAATCAAATTTATTTTTTTACATAATATTTAAAGAATCTTCATTTAGTTTTTTTTAAAAATAATATGTTTATCCACAATATCATAAAAATATTTTCAAAATATTCCTACGTCAAAACTATACAAATTTATATTGCGAGAGTTCTTTAAAATATTAGTACGTATAATATTTATATCTAAATCATTTATTGTACATTTTCAAAAGATGTTGAAAATATTTAAAACAATAATACTGCTAATCAAAATATTTTTACAATATAATATATATTTTTTGGGCCTCCCAAGAAATTGTTGAATTTCCACCTCCTTGAAGTCATTTTCAATGTATTTTCGCTTCATCTCAGTTTATTTCTTCTTTCGCTTCATTTGTAGTTCATGTACTGTTGTGAATATTATCATTCACAACATCATCATCATCATTATTATTATTTTTATGATTCATTCACATCGGGTTGTTAATTTTTTTATTTTTATTTTTTTTTTCAAATTTCTAATGAAACCTTTAAATTCAACTGAAGAAGAAATTCTTCATCTTGAGTGCTTGTTGCTCTCCTGTAGAACTTCCGCTTAGTACCTGTGCAGCTGTGAGATGAAAGCAATCCCACCTGCTTAGTTTCTTTGAGGAAGACATCAAAATGCAATCAAATGCAGAATGCATCTCAGAATGTCGATGAAAAATTTAAAGGGAAAAAAATAAATGAAACAATACAATGGTGGAAATACTAGAATAACAGAGACAAGAGAAGAGAATTAAATTGAAGTAAATCAAGTAAACGATGAAATGAAGTCAAGGACTCAACTGAAGTAAAACACTAGAGGGAGCAGGGAGATGAAGTAAAAAAATTATTTGAAGAATAAAATAAATTATAAGGGAAAAAAGTAAATGAGGTTAAAGAATAGAAGGAATTCAAAGATTTAACTGAAGTCCAAAAAATAATGATCAAGTATTAAAATTAATTACAATGAAACGTAAAACAAAGTAAAGGAATAAGAAGTAAATAATGAAAGAAAAAAAATGAAGTCCTTGAAAAAAAATAGAGTGAAGGAAAAATAGAGTCAGCAAGGAAATAAAACAAAGTAATACGATAAAATAAATTTAAAAAATATAGTACAGTAAAAAGGAAAATAAATACACGGACTAATCCGGCCAGATGGAAAATATCCTAGTTGCCCGTCCAACTCGACGTTAAATCCCGGTTTTAAGACCTAGCCAGCTGCTATTAAGCTGCTATCAGCTTAGCTGTTGGACATGTTTTTTTACAGACCTTTTAAAAGGTAGTAAAAAAGAAAAAAATGCCCAGCATTAGACTAGTTCCATCCAAAAAAACCAAGACAAACATAGAAATAAATTTATACAGAATACTGGCAAATACCATCCCTTGGTGGGCGAGTTTTCAAATCACAGAAAGAAAAATAACGGCCAGTTTATCCCACAAGAGAACGCCTGTGCCGAATCAATACAAAATGACGTAAGAAAGGTTACCTTAGAGTTACAAGGAATAAAAAAAGGTAACATAAGACCCTGAGTAGTCAACTTATTAAGAAATGACTCAAGAGGAACACATAGAACTGTAATACAAAGTGACACAAAAAAGGTTACTTAAAACGTAGGAGTAAAAAAAGGTAACATAAAATGAGTACTGAGTAGTCAACTCATTAAGTAATGACTTAAGAGGAAAACATACAACCTATCATAAGGTAGATACTAGTGGAATGCCCATAAGAGATATATTGCCATGCAAAATGACAAAGAAGGTTATAAAAAATAGGCTATTGAAAAGTCAACAAAATACAATAAAAGCTCGAAAAGTCTAGGGACCGAGGAAAAAGGCACAAAGTGTTAGCACAGCTGTATTCTTAAAAAAGGCATCACAAAGGTTCTCTCTCTTCATGAACGGTCAAACCGGGAACACTTCAAAAAAGCTACCTGGAGGTTTTCTTTGAAGGACTCATAAGTAAAATTATCCAGTGGGAGACGTAAGTGATTGAAGCATGCTGACGCTGTTGGGTTTACACCTTCAATGAAGCTTATACGTGGTTTTGGTCTATCTGACAAATAACCAAGACTGGGTATTTTTTCGTCAGCAGTGGCAAAAATGAGAATGTCTGCAAAGTTTACAGGTGATTTATTATCTGGAAAAAGAAATGAAACAAATCTATTAACTGTAATTCAGAGATTAATTATATAAAATATCACAGACTCGCCAAAAATGAGCAAGTTGCAGATGCTACATTAGAGATTCTTCATTCCAACATTTAGGGGCATTTTTCTGTAAAGCATGGATATGAATTTGGCTTGAAAAATCACTTATCCTGCAACTTCCATGAATAGTTGAATACCTTGCCAAAGAAGGGGACTTATGTGCAAGTCCCTTTTTCCCGTTACATGGCTCATTGATATTTCCAAAAGTATAACCACATAGGTTCATGTCGATATCTTGATACTGGCTTTGACAGTTTTTTGGGAAAGTGTTCATTACATATCGTCACCTTCCAGGCAAAGTATCACAAGCGCCATGCGACGTTTAAAAATTTTCCGCCGCCATTTAATTTTTTTACCAAGAACCGTTGGTTGAATCTGTTTGAAAATTTCACTAAATTTTATCGGCAGCACGAAGAAAATTCAGTGAAATTTTCGGACAGCTTCGTTGAACAATTTCTCTGTAAAAAAATAAAATGGCGGCGGAAATTTTTAAATGTCGCATGGCGCTTGTGATACTTTGCCTGAAAGGAGACGATATGAGTACGGTAGCTTTATAATTGCTCCCTGCTTGTTTGTGACAGACTTGCTCTGCACCGCGCTTCATTCTGACTGGACAATAAAAGAAAGAAAGATAACGAAAAAAGGACCGAGGTACATAAAATAGACAAAATATACCTTTGTCTATCACTTGGTCTCTAATTTTCTGCAGAACTTTGGTTATAGCTTTGCTCATCGCTTCATGTACACCTCAGTGTACAACTTGCCTCATACTCGGTCTAGAACTTCATCAAGTCACTGGTGTCTATAGGCTCGTGTGTAAGTTAGTTCATGGATTTGTGTAGAACTTTGTCTACATCTATGTCCATCACTTTGTCTATACCTTCGTCTGTTACTTTTTCCATCACCTTGTCTATACTTGGTCCATGGCTTTGAGAATAACATTAATGACACAAGTTGCATGCAATTTGGAAGTTTGAACTTGAGGCAACAAGTATATTGATGCTGCTGGATAGGCGAAACGGTTCAACCTGTTCAGCAAGGAACATGAGAACAACCTCGTTTCTCCCACGCATTGCTAACAGGAGAAACAACCTTCTATCTTTGTGGGTGTCCAAGGGAATTTTTTGGCCTTTTTATAACTTTTTCTCAACTCGTCCTAGCAATACCGAGGTGTGTTCTAAGTTTAGAGACAAATGATTCCACCAATTGTTTTTCGCGACCGTAGAGTACGCCCCTATGGCAGCTTGTTATGAACTATATCAACGTTATTTAACCACTATTGAATCAGGCTGTTATTCACTAAATTAGTTGATGTGCTTTAAATTAATTCACTAACCTTCAACTTCTTGTAGAAAACATTGCCAATTTGCCAACACTCTCTCTTCTTGAGGTGTAGAAGCATAAGTACTAAATAAATTGTAAAATTTTTGGGCATCTAATTTTTGCGGCTCCTTGGACCTGCAAAAGAGCGGGTAAAAAGCATCCGGTGCTTTTTGGATATGGTCCAGGAGGTTCGTTTCTTGATTTAGCCCTGACATCAGCTGGTACAGCGGGCCTCTGATTCTCTCGTACATGTAATAATTGTAGACTCCTGTAAAAAATAAATCCATATATACTCACACATGGGAAATAGGGCAGACTATGGAAGAGAATGTATAGAAAATTAGTAAAACTGAATAAAAAACAAATCAAAATGATAGCCAATGTGAGAAAGACAGGAATCAGGTGGTCCCTAAGATACCTGAATATTTTCCGGATTATTGGACCTAGGAACTTGAAACTTCGAGAGTTTTTTTGCTAAAAAATAGAAGAAATACATTTCCCACTTTCCCTTCAACTTATTTTTCTTTTTTTGTGTGTGTATGATAGCCTGCCATTTGTGATACATCATTGAAAAGAACATTGTAAAAACTCAAGAACTTTTGTCGAAACCACCTTGAAAAAGCTAAATTTTTATGGAGATAGTATCTCTGAAAAAAAAGGCCGATTGAGGCCAAGTTTTAAAAACCATTCCGGTAAAGATGGCAGGTGCCACTGTCTAATTGGTTTTAAGGGAGTAATGGGTGCCCCAAAATTGCAAAATTTTGGAACTTCCCATTGTCAGTTTTCATTGAGTAACTGGGAATTGCTATTAAGGAACGAAAATTTATCTAGAGAGTAAAAGGACATCCTAGGATTGTCCAAAAGTATCAAACTATACAGGGATAATCAAATAAGAACATTGGTTTCCTTTAAAAAATGAGAAGGTTTTGTAAAGAGGACCAACAGTTATTAAGTTCTCTTCAAGTGTCTTCTTTGCCAGTCTTTAACAAACATGGTCTTCACTACATTCACAAGATCCCAAAAAAATATCGATTTTCAAAGGACTTCTTCATATTTGAGGGAAGAGTACACTCAGTTTCAAATGAGCTTGGCTAAGTAAATACTTTAGGTCTCTCTTGGGAAGTCCCCATGCTCTGATGGGGGATTATCCTGTAAAGTGCAATTAAGTCCAAGTATTTGAAGAAAAAAAAATTCTAAAATTTTAAATGATCTTTTCGCTGAGTACAGAGGATATTACACGGCAATTTTCATAAGAAGAAGCTTAGTTACTTTAAAAGAAAACAAAACAGTAATGCAGACTCTATAAAGCTTTTGTGAGAGTTAACTCAGAGCTTTTTGATATAATGTAGGGGGCTGAGGGCCCTCAGAATTTTTATGTCCTCAACCAAGATTTTTAAGGGCTGTACTGTACGTACTGAAAATTTTGAGTTTCTACCTCCAGCAGTTTGAAAAACATCCGACTAACGCAAAACTTTGATGGAATCCTTGAGTTGCAAACTAGTTTGCATCAAAATGATTGGGAGAATCTTCTGTGGGTAGCATTTCATTCGACAGTTCTGATATTTTAGCTACTTATAGCAACAGTTCAAGCCCACGTGGAAAACTAACTACATATGATAATGGGTTTTTAATTTGAAGCTGTGCATACCTATCTCTTTACTTCTTAGATAAAGAAAAGCTAGAAGTCAATACTAGAATCTGATGCCTTAGAAAATCGTTCCCCTGCTTAACGGTTGCTTAGTTGTGATCTAACAGTTCGTACAGTACCTTGTTCGTAGTTGCTGCTCAACAAAGTTTAGACACAAATTAGAGAGATACACTTCAAGTGATACATTCACTAGGTGTGCTCACCTCTATTTTTGAATAACTACGATTTAGAAACAGAAGTAACAAGTGAAAAGCTACCTGTAAGAATGCTAATTTTGTCCTCGTTGAAAGTGGCTGACTCAACAGAAAGTTTCACGCCTGCCCACTGAATGCAGGGGTGCTTACGGATGACTTCATTGCAGGCAAAGACACTTTCTCCCTCTTCAAGTTCCTGAAGTGCATGCTGGGTGATTTCACGTGGAATGATGTTTATACAGTCCAAAAATGGGTGCCTGATTTGCAATGTTTGGTAAACTTGTTCCTCGCATGGCACCGCCCACAGCTTAGTAGAAAATGAAAAGGTAAATGGCTAATGTTACCCTTTGAGTGTGTATGCGGAAATGATGAGCCCCCAAAAGTGAAAGCTTCTATGTGTCGGTGAGATTTGAATGAGGAGTCTCTAGATATGAGAAGTTCTTCCCTATGAATAGCTTTTCTTCTACATATAACATAACAAGTTAAGTGAACGTCACCTGTGGTTTTCTCTCTAAAATTACATCAGCTTCAGATGCGTCGTCAGTGCAGCAACGATGGCAATCTTTTCGTTAGGTCAGACACTAAGGAACCTGACAATGGATCATGTTTTATTAGAGGAAACAGGAGACTGGCCTTTAAGATGTTCAAGCACCTAGAGGGCAATAAATAATTACATTAATTTCATTATGAAGTTAAAAATGAATTTGTGGTCAAATATAACATACGCAAATTTAGAAATTATCATATGATAATTTGGAGGAACATTTAGGACAAAAAAAAAGGATTAGAAACAGTCAATGATTGGTAAACTTGTTCCATGCATGGCATCACCCAAACCACAATACGGAATGAATAAATGATTCTTTCTACATTTTAACTGTCTATGAGGAAATGATGAGCCCCCAAAAGCTGAAGTTTCTAGAGAAAAATTAGGGGTTCTACAGGTCCAACATAGTAGGTTAAGACTAAAGTCAAGTAATGTTTATGACATAATTCATCAATGAGGGAATAAACCATTCCAGACGCTCAAAACTGTAAAACCTCAAAAGTACGCAGGCCCATGAGTTTGGATGAACACTACTGAAGGCACTGTCACCGAAATGTAATGGTTTTCCTCATTTATACTTGCATATTGTGAAGTTCTTGCTGTTTAATGCAAATGCTCAACAGTCTATATGCACTGATACCCCTAGACTAGCGGTCCAGTTTAAGGTGATTCGTTAAGCTCAAGTGACATGGTCGAACTGACGTGCGATATATCGCATCTTAAAGGTCAAAAATCTCGGCAGATTGTGAATTTACAGCAAAGAAAGGACGATAGCCCCTGTGCATGAGCCTAAAGAATCATTCTAATCCCAAAAATCGGCAAAATTCCGAGAAATGAAAGCAGAATAGTGTTTCGAAAAAATCCTCGCATTCGATACAGGATTCGTTGGCTGAATCAAATGGGAGGTTTTTTTCGAAACACTATTCCGATTTCATTTCTCGGAATTTTGTTAATTTTTGTGTTTAGAATGATTCTTTAGGCTCATGCGCAGGGGCTATCATCCTTTTTTTCGCTAAAAATTCGGAATCCACTTCTGAATTCCATTTAGTTCAAAAAATCATCGATTGACTAGATATTTGCAATTGAAAAACGGCTGCTATTTCCTTAAGGGAAAATACATTGTAGGTGATGAAAAGACGACGTTTGACGTGCGATGAGACGTAACGAGTGTGCCGGATCCGGCACCGCATGAAAGTAACCATTTCGAATGGGTGAGTTCCAAAAACAGCTTCCTTTGAGTTTGAGAGGTCATTTCAAGCTTTTTCAGTAGCGCCATCGTTCTTTTCGTGAAACTTGCCAGTTGAATCAGTGAATTCCTTTCGCAAATCCCTGTACCTTGCAACAGGCCCATTAAGCAGCCAATAAAATGCAGTTTTACTACGGATTCAGTCCCAGATTGAGAAGTACAGAGATTGATATGAATTGAAAGTTAAGTTAACTTACGCTTTAAAAGTGAAGGCTAGTTTACTTCCGCTTAAAACTTAAAAGGTGATGTCACAATTTACGACGTCGACACGAGGTGCGAGCATTGAGCGAGAATTAGTTAGTTTACAGGTTATCACCACACCAGTTATCACGGACCGAAAAGGAACACCAAAGGAACGGCATTTTTCAAATTTTTGGCAAAGAATCACCAATCAGAACGCACAGTTCGCTTTCAAAGAGGAACACCAATCAGATGCTACCATTAAAAATAGTGGGGACAGTGCGGATTATCACCGCTCACAGCGCTGCTCTTGGGAGGGGGGTCGCGCTCCAGGTGGGTGAGGGTACCCCTGTGGCGCGGCAGGTTTACGGAAATCGTTCCATATTCCGGCTCCATGCGGCGCCGTCTGGCTGCCGAGCCGTACGCTGACGAATACAGCAATCTTGCTTTTTGAGCAAGATTGGAGACGGAAGACGGACTGACGGATGCCAATCTCCAGTTTTGTTTTGATTGCTTATGCAGTACGCACGCTCTTTAAGGTAAAACGATGGTGAAACTGCAAAAATGCGTATATCGGTTGCGGTGTTTGAAAATCTCTGCTCCTTTTTTATTTTTTAAAAGGAAACCGAACCAACATCGTGGCTTGAACTTTTCACAGAATATTCTTCACATAGAGAAGAAAAATATCCGAAGTGCTCAATGAATGATGTTAAGTGGTTTTCCATACGAAAAATAAAGTATGACAGGAAGTCTGCAACGCCGCAAACCGATATACGCATTTCTGCAGTTTCACCATCGAAAAGATCAAGCAGATGGAAAAATTTGGCGGAGCTCTTTCGAAAGTATTTAAAGAATTTCTGTTCATCACCAAGCAAATCAGGGAAGAGAGTACAGTACTCTCCACAATGCTCCCGCTTCATAATTATTTCATGGACCCAAAATCTCCTCTTCCTTCTTTGTTTCAGTTCTTCCTCTTCAAGTGCCTATACACGCCAAAACTATTGCCTCCTCATCAGACAAGGTTTCCATTTTTAACAATGAAAAACACTAGAAAAAAGTTGAGTATGAAACTGACATGCGAACAGCTTTGAGTCATCAAGCTCAACTGCATCCTAGAGCTAGCCTGATCGCATCGGAGCAGTGTGCGCTACGTTTCGTCCAAGAGCCGTACAACTGACGGACGCCCGTCGACGGAGCCGCGACGGAACGGACGGCGACCAGTGGCGTGGCGTGAAGGATCGATTATCGATATATCGCCATTTGAAGCTATAGTAAAGAATCGATTAAATCGATCTTTTTCCATGTGTTTAAATGGCATAACAAGCGATATATCGCAATTCACGCCACGCCACTGACGGCGACGTCTCAGTGTGGCTAGTGCTTTAGCCGGAGTCGTCTCCTGGAGCTTGGCTTTTTTGGGGGTAAAAGCCGCCATGGGCTGTTCGGGCATCGAGGAACTGAAACAGGAGAATCCACCGTCAACTCGCTTAGTACGCACCTTAATGAATGGTCCAGAATAGTCTTGAATATGTTAGTCGATTTGAATATGACCATTAATACTTGAAAAATTGTAACAATCTCAGTCATCAAAAATAAAAAGTTATTACGTTACAAACATTTTCGAAGAGTTTCATTCTTTACTCTTGTTGTTTTAAAGTCAGCAAATCCTCGAGAAGAAATGAAGAGAGAAAATTATAAAGAAGGTGAATTGTACTAAATTCTCCTTAAAGATATTAAAAATTAGTATAAGATGGGAAAGAAAAAAAATATAAACATAAAAAAGTATCCACAGTAACACGCGTTTTTCCTTTTTTCCTCCAAATTCATCTTCTCGGGCTCAAGAAATCTTAACCCGTCAGGTCTCACGCATATTCTCTATCACAATATCGGTGAGAGCCCAAGCCAATGACTTATACACTGTAAATTCCCCCGACGTAGGTGTAATAAGCCCCGACGGCTAAGTGCGTAGGGTGTTCAGTTCGTAAACTGTACGCCCCAGGTTCACATCCCGAGAGGTAAGCCAAAATTTGCAGGTCGGTACCTGCCGTGTCGAGTCTTCTACACTTGCACATATACAATTGAATATTTCTTCTCATTTCATTCACACTATTAGAAGAATATCCATTACCTTCCGTGACTTCAAAACTTCCACTTTCCCCTCATGCCGACGAACCCGAAGTAGCATCGTAACTGCCATCTTCTACTCTGCCCGATGGCTGATCTTCCCCGAAGCGTGCACCTATACGTGGACTACACTATTTCACTTACCCCGACGACTCCGTCCTCTTCAGCCTCTGTTTCGCATTATGGCGCTCCCTCTCCGCCTCGATGAGCAGATTTTTAGTCGTCTTCAGGGAGTTAAAGGCGAGTGAGAAAAGTAATACTCACACAGCAGCAACCTCTTCTTCCAAAGTGGGTGGCGGATTGGTCTATAATTCTTACAATGGCTATGCTAAAAAATTAAGAAGACAATTTTACTAAAATTAGGGTACAACAGATGGATATTGAAAATCGTCTTTCATTTCTTCACTTAATTTTCCAAAATTCACCCTCTGTCTGCGCCCTCTTTGGTCGCTTCATGGAATCCGCATTTGTTTGTTGAGCTTGAGTAGAATTTTGCAGAACCGGAGCCACTGGATTAACTGAAGGTTTTCCTTTCACTATGATAGTCGAACTTTTAATTTGATGCAGAATTACTGTCATAACTTTTGGAGGTTGAACTTTTGGAGGCGACCTTTCCACAACCGCTCTTTTAGACTACCTTGTTGGTCAGTATTAGGCTTTACTGCATTCTGCGGAAAAACCTGTCTGCGAACTGCACCTCTTTGGGTGTTGCTTGAAACTCCTAGCCGATCAGGATTCAGTTTCACCAGTTTCCGCTGATCTGCATCTTTTACTTAACCAGTTACCACGAAGTTAGGCACTGACTTTAAAGCTTCTTCTAGATTCTCTTTTTCCTCTATATTGGAGGTCTTCTGCTTTTTCCTCCCCCTCTCAAACAGCTTTTCTGGATAATCGAATCGCTAGCTGACGAGAGGTGTTCCATATTCCTGTAAATTCTAGGTATAGTTTTTCAGGAGACAGCTTGCCATCGATCTCAACATTTTCTTGATAACTTTTACAATCTTCAGCTCACAAGTTCCGCATTCAGGGACAAAATGCTCGATATAACTTTCGAACATCTGCAAACCCAAGTCGACCACTGCCTTGTGTGGGATTTGAAAGTTGAGAAATTGATCCTCGTATTTTCGACTAATGATAATTTTAATCAGCTTGTGAATGTTCACACATAAATCGAACGAAAATTCGGATGGTTTATTTAAACCTCCCCTGTCAATAGCACTCATGTATTCGTAAATTTCAGCAGCCCGTTCAATTTCTAGGGGTTCAGTGGTGATACGGTCTCCTATGGAATTTGAGGAATTTTTCTTCCTCTCACCTTCCTTACGGGTAGACGGTAGAGGCAGTATTAGTTTTACTAAAGTGTTGAATAACTTTCGTTGAAGAATAGCTGGCAAGACAAACTAATATATAATACGCGAGAATCATTCACAAAGATGTCAAGAGAAGCTGCTTCACTGATGGCAGGTTCAAAAATTTCCAAATTTTCTACCACTTTTAGGCCTTTGATTGCTTTCTGGCATTCATCACCAAAAGTTTTGATGGAAAAATCGT